TAATTGCTCAAAACTTAACTCAAAGTCTATCTTGGGAATCTCAGTTTCCTCTCTTGTTTAATTTTGAAAGCATTTACTCTATACTGAAAAAAACTAGCTCAAAGACTCTTTACTGTAAAACTAGCTCAACGACTCTTTACTGTAAAAAAAAAACTAGCTTAAAGGCTTTTTTTTGTAATCAAAGTTCCCTTACTTGTTTAAATGTGAAAACATTTTAAACTCTTCGGGAATAAATGATTCCAATATACTTTTGAAGAAATGAACTTCGACTATACTCTTTACTGAACTCAAAACTTAAGTCTTAAAACAAAATTAAAATATTTTTAAAAGACTTTTGAAAATTTTATGAACTTCTCTTAACTTGACTCTTAACTTAACATTCCTTGAATTGAATTATGGATTCAAGGATTGTGCTTTGTGATAGGAAAGATCTCACGATGTATAGAATTGATTTAAGATAATTTAATCATGAGAAACGATCAAGAAATCACTGTTGAAACACTAGTCCGCGACACGGATGTGTATTAAGTTTTGGTCGCAAAAATAACTTTTGAGGCATAATGGTCTGTGACCACTCCGCTCTACGAAAACAATTTAGTGAAATCTGAGGAACACGCGGACCTGCTACCTGTTCCTTGCCCGGATTTTTTCTTCTTCGTTTTCCATCCCTATTTACCCTAAACTCGACTATTTTTCTCAAGTTCTTTTTAAATTTAGATGCCCAGTACATATACACACGAATCTAACTCAAACAAATCAAGGAAACAACATTTTAACTTCAAGGATCTCCTCAATCTCAACCTAACTCAAGAACGAAAGTCAATTTCAAGAACAACATTCAAGATTCATAAACTTTCAACTTGATAGAACAAACTTCACTAAAATAAACGTGATTGGTGCATGAGTGAATGAAGCCAACACTATGAAAGACTACATACATCTTTAGCGATCAAACCTTGTCGAAATCCACAAGCTAAATCTTCAAAAACGATGAACTTTGTCTTTTCTCCTCTTGTGTTCTTTCTCCGAAAATCCTAGCATAAAGTTCCAATTGTCTAAACTGAATCAACTTAGTTTTGATGCTTAATTAATTCACCAAAAAAGACTTAAAATAATAGGGTATGGAAAAGACTAAAAAACCCTTTAAAAATTTGGATTGGACATTTCTTGTTTAAATATCCCAACTTTCAAAGGGCATATCTCACTCGTAAGAACTCGAAATCACGCAAACTTGACGGCGTTGAAAAAATTATTCCAAGAGATTTCCAACCATACCTGGAAGTACACCTAACTCATCCTGAGGTAGGAGTTAAGTTCGTTTGAAGTTAACCAAAAACTCAACTCAACTCAACTTAACCAATTTGTCTAGATTTTTATTATTACTCTTTCTAGTTCTTTTAATTTGCATAAGTGTTTAATATGAAATTTTGAAGTATAAATAGAGGAGTGCAATTACGACTTTCTAGTAGAATGATTTGTAATTTATTAGAGTAAAAATAATTTAAATTAATTATTTGAAATTATTTACATAATAGAAAGTCCCATTAATTAATTCTGTGGTTCTTATTGTGCCATATTTAACTAAAAAAGATAAGTGACACCTATAAATATAATTTAATTTTGAGTATCGCATAAAACTAAGATATCTTTAATTATTCAATTCACTAAGAAAATAAGTTGGAACAATTTTATAAGTTCTAAAGATTAAGATTTTTATTTTAATTTAAACTACCTAAATAAATATTTAAAAAGTAAGAATTTATCAACTAAACCATAGAAGGTTGAATTCAAGATTAATTAAGGAGGTAGACGAAATTAGCCTCTTGCTATATTAGCTATAATCTCATTGATTTAGTCTCTACGGATGGTGAGCACTCACAGATTAATATACGTATCTATATAATTTTTAAATTTAAATACAAAATCTACAAATTTATCCGAATTCATGAACTCGCACACTTAGTTCTGATTGTTACATATGTTTATAATTTTATAGCTATGTGGGCAAAAGTTGAAAGCAAAGATGCACATTTTTTTATACTAAAAGGCTATATCTGGTTTCAAAATGTGGGAAAGCTATTTTCTAGTTGATAAAAACTGTAACAGTTACTGGTTAGAAAACTAAATCAATTACAAAATTTTGCTTTCAAAAATTAAAAACAAACTTAAACTAGTGTATAAAAAAAATTGCAGTCCAATGTAGCCTTTTGCTTTAGAAAAACATTTTAAATTGTAAAATTTAGGTCTTAGGCCTAACTCACACCCCAAAAGCTAGCTCAAAGGGAGGAGGATTGCCTAAGCCTTATAAGGAGTCCACCCATCTTATTAATCACCGATGTGGGACTTTTGTCATTCTTTAACATAAATAATTGAATAATTCTAAAATCCAAGCACATGCACTAATTTCTCAAATTTCTAATGTCAGTTCTTCAAAAAACGAAATCTTAGTAAATAGTGATAAACCTTCTCTTTGCTTCAAACAGAAGTATCTCTGCAACAAATAATCAATTTTACCGCAATGATATAATTATCGTTATATTTATTTAGTAACAAGAAAAATAAAATATTTATAATCAATTCAATATTTTATATAAATATTGTTAAAAATTTTACTGACTCTGAATGTAATAATATTATTGAATATTGTTACGGAAGCAATATTGATGCTATTTTTTTTTATTACTACTAAATATTTCTTTTATTATAGTGTATAACATAATTCATGTTTACTTAGAAGCTCACAACTCTAGCTTTCAGTATGAGTAATTTGTTCCTCTGGTAGTAGAGGTGACATATTAAACTAATTAAAAGTCTAGTCCCTTATATTGTGTACATGATTTTAAATAAAAAGAAGGCCTAAAGGTGAGGCTAGTCCTTCAAGTAATATAATTCATAAATTTAACCATTTAAAGTGTCTTTTACTCAAATTATCGACTCTTTTAAGGTTTAGAAGCAAAGTATATTAATATTATTCTTTTTTAAAAAAAATTACGGAAGTATCACAATTCACGAGTTTAAATTTGCACTACTTTCGGTTTATGTTTTTCACGAGTACTCTTGTTAAATTTACTTTTTGGCCCATCAATTATAATTATAGCTTAAAAATGGGCACATAAACTCGTAATTTCTTCGTAAAACTAGAAATTTAAATACTCATGCTATAATAAGGATAAATGATAAATTTAATTGAAGATTAAATTGTTTACCAAAAGAATTAAGGATTAATTTTCATTAATTAACATATTTTTTCTCTCTCTTTATCACACATATTCTAAAAATTTTAAATTCTCCTTTTAATTATAAAAAAATAAAATAAAATTAGTGGTAGCATTTTCTTCCAAAAGATGTGTAAACGTGAAGTGAAAGCATAAAGAGTAATGGTGATCTGGCGAAATAAATTAGTAGATAACTGTGTAGACTTTAGCATGTGAAGTCCCATTATTGTGAGGGGCAACAAAAGCAGATCACTTGTTTTCTTTTAATTTGTCCCCCAACAATTAACTGAATCCATGCCTTGACAGGTACTCCTCAATCATTAACTCCTTATGTTTATTACTCGTTATTTTTTAATGCGTTAATCGATAATATAAAGAAAATATTTACCAGTTCAGAAGATTACTCAGATTTTGCGAGTCATTCTTAAATTTATTTCGATTTCAAAAGCTTCAGTATATCAATATCATGCTTTAAAGAGATCTTCAATCACCCACTTTACTTCCACTTCTCCAAGAAGTTATTCCCATCTTTGCTTGTACTCTTCTAAATTTTGAGTTGTAGTGTTACATTTTACAAACGTAAGCAAAGGGTGGCAAGTTGGGAAAAGGAGAGACAAAACAAAGGAAAATGTGGCAATAACTAATCATTTAGCTAGTAATATATATTAAATATGTTACCATTTTTCATCGTGTCAACTTGGGATTTGTTTAGCATATCTGAGATTGTATTATTTTTGGAACCAAAAGAGAAAAAGAAATCTCACGCTATCATCAATAATCTTTTCAGTGTAATAATTGTCTAAGTAAACTTTTAAAAGTAAAGTGGTTTCCTATAGAACTATACGAATTATGTACTTTGCGTTTGATAATCAGTTTGCACCTACGTGTGGTGGGAGTACAGGTATCAAATTGACCGATTAAATTAAATTTCGATAAATTTAAATTAATTAAGTTAATAAATAAATGAGCTATTAGTTCAAGTCAAAAGTTATTTAGCTATAAATGAGTTTAAAATGCAACATAGCTTAATTCTTACTCAGACTTAATTATTTTTTAATATAATAACTATTATTAAATTATTAATTTTTTATCATCACTATATATAATAGGCATAATACATATATTGGACCTTAAACTTGGTTTCAAATTTTAACTTTGACCTCAAACTTTCATAGTGCACAAATAGACACTTTAACTATCTCATCTTTCAATAAAAACACGCGATTTTTACCTGGCAAAATGCGTGAAATGCACGCATTCTACGCGAGTGAGGGGTAATTTTCGAGCCCCATAAAGGAAAAAAATGTTGAAATGACAATTCTACCCTTAATGAATCTCTTTTATATTAATTAAAAAAAACTAATTTTAATTTTTTTTAGTTTCAAAATGACGTGTAAGATATGTTTTTTTAAAAAAAGACATGTAAAATGTTTAATCAATTGGCAGCCACTGATTGGCTCACTAATACACGTGGAAGTGTTTGCATTTCACGCATTTTGGCTCCAAAAATCGCGTGTTTATTTATTGAAAGATAGGATAGTTAAAGTGTCTATTTATGCACTATACAAATTTGAGGTCAAAGTTAAAATTTAAAGTATGATTTAATATATGTATTGTGCCTATATAATATATCAAATTTTTAAAATAATTTTAAAATTTGAAATGTATCCCATAAATTATTTTGGTAGGTTAATTTAGGCAGTAGAGTTGTAGTTGCATGCCAATTGTGATGGCAACTAAAAGTGGAGTAATCCGCGTGACAGGGAGGGCCATTATACCCGATTCCCCTTCTTCCGCGTTAAACCGCGTGATCCTCCGCTATAAATTCCCACAATACACCCCCAGTTAACTAACAAGCTAAAAAATTAATCTCCCCTATCATGGCAAAGCTTACGCCGAGGATGAAGGAAGTCGAGAAAGTATTTCGAAAATACGACACCAACGGCGACGGAAAAATCTCTCTATCGGAGCTCGACGGAGTTTTGAATGCTCTCGGCACTAAAACGACGCCGGACGAGGCGAAGCGAATGATGCTGGAGGTTGATACCGACGGTGATGGTTTCATCGATTTGGAAGAATTCGCTGCGTTTCACTGTCCGGTTGAAGGATCTAACAGTAAGGATCTCCGTGACGCCTTTGATTTGTATGATAAGGATAAGAACGGGAAGATTTCGGCGTCGGAGTTGCACTCCGTTATGAAAGGCATTGGAGAGAAGTGTTCGCTTAAGGATTGCCGGCGTATGATCAGTTCCGTTGATGACGACGGCGACGGTAGTGTTAATTTTGAGGAGTTTAAGAAGATGATGACTAGAGCTTAATGGTAGGTGTTTAATTGAATAATTAAACTGATTAGTAGTTAAATGTGTTCGTTTCGTTTGACTGATTTTCATATGTGGGTGAAAGTGTTAATAGGAATTCGATTTACTAAAAGTTGAATAATCGAATATCAATCATCCTTGATTCAAAAACGCCAAATTGCGTAGTAGATCTGTTTGCTTTTCATTATTTAGTGATGCGCTTTGAATATTTCTTATTGTGTTGCTGCTCATTCTTTTGTTGGTTGATTTAGAGTGTTTGCATCATTCATTTTGGTAGGTTTTTTGGGTAGGTTTAGGTGTTGGAGTGGTGCACATTGGCTAGATGCTTCTGTTGGGTTATTGTGGTCGATATTCAATAGGGACTATTTTACAAATATCATGTCAATTGCCCACTTCCATATCTTAAACCATGATTAGTGTTAGGTGTGAACTTTTACACGCAAATCATATTATATATAATTTTATATTGTTAAGAAAATATATAAAATTAAACTTTTGAAAATTTTTTGCAAATCAATTTAAATAACTTAATAACATAGAAAAAAATATTTTATCAAAATTCTCTAAACAACAACAAAATCGTCACCTTTTTCGCCTACATGTAATTTTTCCAGAAAAGAAAACTTTCACATATAGCCACTAAAATCTAGCCTAATCACTCTCCATAGATATAATTTGACAATTACAATTCGTAGGAGAGAGGTGACTGGTGAGAGGGGCATACAGTGGGAGATGTGAATTGTGTATATTTATAATGGTTAGATAATTGTATATTATACATGTGTACTTGTATAAAAAGCAAGCAATATTGGGAGAGAGGCGAGCGAGATAGGGAGAGAGGCGAACGCGAGAGTGGATAGAGGTGAACTATATATGTATATTGGTTAAATAGTTGTATATTATATATATGCATTTGTATAAAGGAAAAATAACTTAAATACACATATATAATTTTTATATTCTTCAATTTTCCCTACTTTTTTTAAATATTACATAATTCCCTATTTTTTTTATTTTAGTGTAAGTTTTTAGATACATTACACTCTCTCCTATAATACACATTTACCAATTTTAATGACTATTTTTTCTCCATTAAAACACTCAACCTCTTAAATCAGTTTTTGAATTTTAAATTTTTTCCATTTAAACATTCAACCTTTTAATCAGCTTTTTAATTTTGAATTATTAAATTTAATTAAATTTAAATAAAAGAAC